TTTTGCATTAAGAGCCTATTGAACCCGACTGTTATTTGTTTAGTTGAGTTTCTAGTATAAGTAGAATAAATAAATAAATAAATAAACATGCGGATGAAATTGTCTTGTACTTGGGAAGACCGTAACTATATTCAGCAAAAAAAAAGAAAATTGAATAAATGCCAAAAAATGATAACGCAGAATGCTTAATACGAAAGCAAACTCTTCGTTTAACCTTCTGTAATCTATTGTCCCTTTTAATCAACACTGACTTTAACTTCTTCTGGCTCTATTTGTACGCAGTTCTCACTTCTAATTCGGTTATAAGATACCTTGAAATAACGTGAAGCAACGCGATAATGTATCATGCCGTATCGAAATCAAACCTAAAGGTGTAGAATTGTATGATAAACATTTTATTATGAAATTAAGAGGGATCTTTTGTACTAATTGCGTGAAATCTACGAGGAGGGAAAATTGATAAATATGCCAAATTCAATGAAAGTTTGGCACATCTTAATGGAAAGTACGTTAGAGTTACATGATGTCTACAGTGTTAGCCCCTCTAAATGAAAAAGTTGAAAGTTGAGAAGTATACATTCAACGCAAGCTAAATCAAGCACCATTTCTGTTGTATAAATTTGAAAGCATGAAACATCTGAGAGTAAGCGGTTCTTATCCTCAATAATTTGTATCAAAATTCCAAACATGTGAGAATAAATGTATATGTTTGTTTACACTTCTCAATAATTGAGCATGTGTTTGTTTAAACTGGGAACTGAAGTGGGGCACTGTAGGCCCAGGTTGGTTGCTATGACACTCGCGGCGTGCTCTTCTCTTTACAGAAACTCGCGGTAGGGAAACGTGAAAAAGAAAGTACAGTAATAATCGGGAACGAATAAGAAATATTAAAACGTTAAGGTCGGATCACCAAGCTGGTTTTCCCTCCTACGTCTCTTAAAATTCGCTTGAATATTATAATCTCCCCGCAAATAAATAAATAGAAACCAAGAACAAACCCCAAGGTCCAAGTAAATTTTATTTTATAAATATTCTTGGAAAGAGTCCTGGATTGACTGAGTATACCCTGCCTAAGTAGACTCGTTACAATATATATTAATAAAGCTGTTTTAAATATATAATAAAGCTATTATATAAATAAAGCTATTTATATTTAAATATAAATTATATAAATTAATATACAGCAACAGGAAAGGCCAGTTTGATTTTCCTAATGACAAATCAAGGCGGCTGCAAAAGTGTTTGTTGCTATAAGCTGCAATTAGACGGATGCTTTTGGTTATCTTTTTGGTTATACATTGCGTTTTGGGTTATTGCGTGGTGTACTTGTTTCAACAGCATTCTTAAGAAATTCTATTGGGTGTCTCACAGAGTTCATTGGGTGACCTAAAATTCTTTTTTGGGTTTAATGACAACAACCAATTTTTACGAAACATCATTGGAACATTTAAAATCGAATGGCCAATATTACCAAGTATTTTGAAATTTTAAAACGTTTTGCTTCGATTCATCATCAAGTGCCAACAATGCACTTGAGTAAGAACCCATTCACTTTTCTCTCCTTCAACTTTTATATTCGACTTTTTCTCATCTGCTGACAATTTGCCGCTCCATCTGGGGTAACCTCCTTCTTTCCTGCTTGTTAAAGATGCTTTGCTTTTGAGAAATAACTTTGTTTTTTATACAATGGAAATTATCCTCAATATCACCATCACTTTCACTTTGATGAAATTCGTTTAGGAGGCCTTCCACACGTTTTCTCCCTTTTTCAGAGATGAGCACGTTCTTGCCATTAGCCGAAAACCTGTGCATTTGTCGACTTGTGCACTGTTCTTTGCTATTTTTGTACATTCACAATCCTTTTCTTGTAAACAGCCTAGAAATCCTCTTACTTGATTTTGTACCAATTCCTGCGGTTCCTCCAACATGGGTTTTTTTTTATCACTCGCTGTTTGAAAGTCTGCAGAAACAAGCGAACTTCCCAGATTGTTGATCTTGCCCACCTCATCTTGATGTATTTTATTTTTCACTTCTTCCGAGATTTCTTGAGTGCTTAGGAAATCTTTATAGTGGTATCTGGTTCATACCAGAGTTTTATATCAAATTGTTATAATGAACGAATTTTCGCCAAAAGATATTGAAAACTATGCCTTCTTATCATGTAAGGATTCAGTTTCCATACGGATGGGTTCAAAAACGGACCCACCCGATTCCTAATTTTTATATCATTTTAGAAAAGATTATAATATTGTTTCTTATGATGCTATGTGAAAGGTGATCGAGAGAGCGGTCCGATTCCAACCATTTGACTACAAGAATACTTGAACAGATGAATTAAAATCTGTGCCTGATGTTGATTTCAGTAGTATAAGCTCATGGATACAAAAATTAAGAATGCTGAAGGTTGGTTGTATAATTTATTTTTGGCCAAAAATCCGGCAGTCGTCCAATGCCCAGTGGCGGTTAAATTTAATTTCACTTAACGCGGAAAGCACACGTTTGAGAATCAATTCATTAGTATGCGATACGGATCATACAGAGGTGGCCGTAGGTGAAAACTAACTAAATTGTTTCTTACATTAAAATAATGAATTAAAATTAAAACATCTGTGTATCTAACCATTATTCATTATTAAAAAACTATAAACATTTTGTTGTTTCAATTACGTTCTATATTGTAAGGGTATAGTAAGTTTGTTTAGATATATGCAAGAACGACATGAAGTTGAGAAAGAATCACTTTTATCATGAGTAGACTTAGACTGTCTTAATATATATTAATTTTTCATTCATTTTGCGCAACTGGGTCTGGTGAGTGTTTGTCCGTGTGTCCGTCTTATTTTCTTGTATTCAATCTCGGTACAATTTGAGGTGGTTCTCTCATAAGTTCTTCTGGGTGTTACGACCGTCCACATAAAGTCAGTATACACTGCACCTTGAATGGTGAACAAAAAGGAAGTTGCAGAAAGATGACAAGATGAGGTTGTTTTCTTAATCTCTTATTAATAACTAAACATTTCACTCAGTGTACCATTTGGTACGTTTCGCCCGTTTAATCGCACTATTGTCTACATTGGTTCGATTAGCCGGCATCATCTTTAAGCATTTTCACCGCCACCATTAACTCATCGTTGTCCACTAGGAGCTCTAGCCTGAACAACACCAAAGGCTCCTTGGCCCAAGTACCGTACGTATAATATATCACCGCGTGGTTATTCCAATTTTTTCAACTTGTTGTTCAACTTAGATTTAGGAGGTGCTTCATTGAGCACATTATGCACCCTAGCCATACTTTTAACTGTACCAAATTTATTGCTGATAATGTGATGTTGAGAGAAATTCTCATGACTGGCGTTCAAATTATAGTCGTTTGGTTGATCATTTATAGTAATGGCGATACCTCTTGTCGAAACATTACATTCTGAATTCTTTATTCTTAGTGATTTTGTAAAGCAAAAGAGTGATTAAATGCAGAGCGACAATGAGTACGAAAGTAATTTATGTGTACGAAACTAATACCAGCCAGCAGAAATATAATGGAGGGCGTAAAAAATGTTTCCATTTTAATACACCCTAGTTCCTTTGATTTGTAAACAATTGCATCTGTTTTTCATTCGAATTTGCTATACCACCCATTGATTGCTAAAGGCGCTCAATCGAACGATTCCAGTAAAGTCTGCAAATCGTTCACAAACAAAAACTACTACAATATAAACCATGTCTAATGCCTATAATATAAAATGCATAAACAGAGTATTGACCCTTTATGAGTACAAAACATTACATCTGATAACGAGGGAACTTTATGCGTATAAACAATAAACAAACAACTAGTAGTTATTTAAATGAAGCGGTACCGACTAAATATAACATTAAATTTTTCAAAATAGGGGAAAATCGAATGCCAGGCCTATAAAAATTGTATAAAACTATTCAGGAGACGTACAAGGGGAGATGAATGCATATTTTTTATACATTTATATATACAAGATTATATATTATATTTCAAGCACTTGTATGAATATATGGAAAGAATTAATATGAGATTTTCATTTTTCCCAGATAATCCCAGTTTATATATTACTAAAATAAATATCCTCCTCATATATACTACGAGCTTTGGGTTCTTCCATTCCTTTAATAACTTTGCCGCTACGTGAATGCTCTATATAATCTTCGGTTTGGGCCAACAGTAGCGATTTAGGTGGTGCTTGCAAATGCTCATCAAATGTTCTTCACCGCCATACTTTTCCACAATATGTTCCTTCGTCTCAAAAAAAATAAAATATATTATTGCACGGTAAAACAAAGCTGTACAACGATACAAATTTTTAAGATAAAAAGAATAAAGTCATATAGCACTAGTAGAGGCACTGTTTTTGAGAGAACATCCCAATGGCTAATATGTTCGTTATCATATTTTTTGGATCTCATAAGGTTAGTAGGAGATTTTCCAAAACAATCTCCAAAAGCCGCTACGTTGTGAATGAATAAACTAAATTGACCTTCGATTCTTACACTTGATTTGAATTGTTCCTTCTTTTTCTCGTATTCCTTTTGTAACAGCTCCAGCTTAGTAGGCTCAGCCAATAAATGAACATCGACCCCCTTACCATGAGCCTCCCATGGGAACAATTGAGAACCAGCGTGTTTTGTGGTGCTTCCGGTAAAGCGAACAAAATTTTCACCGTCAAACTCTGACCTGGAATTGCGTTATATGCGTGTTTAAAGGCCATACTGCATTTATAATCATAATAATACTTTAATACTTTAATACTTACTCTTCTGCTGGTACTTGTGGATTTGGATTGTCCCGCATGAATCTGGTTTTGGGGTCATAATAGGTCGAATTAGGATCCAAGTTACGGAGGTACTTGGCGGTATCTTCACGTATACGTAAGTTGCGTACTGTAATACGTTGTTTTGAATCCACTTTAGTTCCTGGCATGTCCACTTCGTCAACATATTTATCGTCGTTCCCATCATCATCAGATATTTCCGCATCAGGATCTAATTTAATAAACAATTTCTGGCAATGTATATAGGAATAAAAGTTTCGGAGGTTTCTACTAACCATTCTTTAATTTTTCGGCTTTTAATTGCCGTTTAGCTTCTTCCACCTTCTCATATTCTTCTATAATTTCGCGATGATTGGCGGGATCATAACTACTCCAAAGATCTCTTTTCTCATCATAATTTACGGCTTCATCTTGCACAATAAAAATTCTATGTAGCATGCAAAGCAGCTCAAAGGGCTCTTAACGTTATCTAACTAGCTCGCCGCAATTGGGGGGTTCATGAAAGTGATTTTGCCCTATAGAATCTTTATAAATTTTTAAGATGTAAGTGAATGTGTAGTGAATGTGAGTGTGTTAAGTGTTCACTTACTTCACCAGCCTATTGAAATATTGTGACCGTATTACCAGTGGGTGGAATCTTAACAAAAGTGCCCTCCTTGAAACTGTACACTACAAAATTGAGAACCACATTAGTATTGGTGGGCGTTAGAAATGGTTATTTCTTCGCCAAGTTCAGCTTCTGTCAGCTCTAGTTGATCGTCCGGTTTAAGTAGTTGACGCGACTTAATCCAGGCATTAAGGTCATCAGCAGCACCAGCTCCTTCTCCTCCCGGAGATTTTCCTTTACCAGCTCCCGTTTTCCAACCAACCAACTTTGCAGCACATTTGCCTTTAGGTGTTAGTTTGTCACCACCGGCAATCTTTACAGTTTTGCCAGCGATTGTGGTTTTTGAAGATTTATCGTTCGGTAGAGTGATTTTGGCTTTCTTTTCCGTCTTTTCCATTTTTGATAATTGACGTATTGTTTTAATTTGATGACAAACTTATATTCAATGGCGTTGGATTCTTTTAGTGAAGATGATTAAAAAAAAACAAACTCAAAACCAAATAGTTGCGATAGCAGTCTTGCTGGGTTAAGTTAAAAATTTTTGCAGTAGTCTTCCAAAAAACTTTTCTTTTTTCCTTTTTTGAATTTACGCGAATTTAAAAAAATTTTACAATTTATCGAAAATTTTGTTTCAAAAAATTCGTAAATCAAATTATCACAGTTTTTATTCCAACTTAAAAAAAAGTCTTTCTTTATATTGTTATACACATTTTTTTAAAATTTTTAAATTTACTTTTTTTTCATTTTATTTATTTTTACTGGACTAAACAAAATCCAAAAATTGAATAATCAAAAAAACGTTCCCAACAAAAAAGAAAACTTGACATCCCAAAAAAAAATAAAACCAACGCCTACTTGTTTTCCTACATATGTTCATCGTGAACGACTAAAGAATTCGCATATCTTGCAAGAACTTTACGTGGTCTCTCCAAGCAATCCTTACGTTTATGATATTTGCCACTGCATTGCTTTAATAGGTGACAATAAAAACTAATCAAACGAAGGTAAAGGTTTTGTCTTGTACTCTATAAAGACATTTCCCTTTCTTGGCAAATATTACTTACCGTATTATAGCGTAAAAAGAAAGTATTGTATATTATACAACCATACTATCTAATCATTGACATTGTTAGCACAATAACGATAAGAAATCAATAGCATTTGCTATCACAAAACAGCAAAGCAAAAGAGTTATACCGATTTTATATTAAAAATAGGAGAAAAACACAGTTATGCCGCCATGTTGGGTTGATAGCGTAGCAATATTTTGCTGTTGCGATTGTTGTTGCTGCTCTAGGATTTCTATTCATGATTTATCTATTGTTGATTTAAACAAAAAAGAACTTATTGCTATATTAGGTTGACCGTTAGGAGACCGTACACGGCAATACGGCCTTCGAAAACCTGCATAACATTTCTCACCCTGACGCCAAGGCCGCACAATGATTAGTTTTAATGCTTCATATTTTTGGCCACATATCAATAAAGAGGTTAATACCTGGACCAGCAATCAGTGCTACAAACTATACAGGCACATAAAATCACCATTGACAAAACCACCATACCTAAAGATATATTTGTCTAGGTACAGTCGGCCTATTGCCGACATCTAAAAATCACAAATATATGTTTACTATGATTGACTGTTTCACTCACTGCCCGAAGGCATATCCTCTTAGCGTGTAGGTTCTCTTGAAACGAAATTTTTATAAATTTTGGGTGTAGGATTTCTTGAACCGAAAATTAGATGTATTTTTCTTATAAATTTGTTTTTTTTTTCAGTGATAATAATGATGAAATTTTTGGTGTTTTATTAAATTATGAATTTCTTCCTCGGACTCGGAATCGGTCATTATCTGACTCAATGGTGCATAAATGCCCTGATGTGGTGGCAGCTCCATTGAGAGCTTCTATAGAGAGAATCTATATTGCATGTGTAATATTGCTGAAAAAACGTACTATATCTGTAAAATCCCGCGGTGCCACAACTGATGGCCTGGCGCCTCTCTTTGCCCAGAATTTACAACTGGTCTCGTTCCTTTGTTGTAACTGCACTGTGATGGAGGTGTCGAAGCGCGGGTTGCGTCTTAATTTATTATAGTGCGCTTCAAGAATGTGTACATAATCGTATATTAGTACGATTTTGTAGGCCCTACCGGAAAATTTTTTGAATCTTTTTGCCTGCCTTTGTCCTACACATTGCTTCCAAGCCGCTTTATTCTGTGTACATGGCCATTGCAGCCTATTAATGTAGATTCTTGGTATGCCACAAAACAGTTCAGCACCTACCATTGCTCCTCGGGCCCTCCTGTTGTTTAGACAGCCACGCCTTCCGTTACCCTCAACACCCCAGAAACCCAAATTAGGTGCATCTCATTTTGCCCGGTGAAGTTACTCCAACACAAATCTAAATGTTGTCATTTGCCCCCTGAGGGATACTAAGACGGCTTGTTGCAGATCCGCATTGTCTTCTTATGCATTCAGATGCATATGCGGTGATTGCACAGACTTCTGCTTGGGTTATGGAGAAATATGTCTCATTTAGCCCACCAAGGAGTTTGCCAAGTCGCCCGCATAACCTAGTGTTTTGAATGCCAGGTCGCGTAATTTCGTTAGCAGCTCATCTGTGACGATGGTCCAAATGAGAAGAGAGAGCAGGCCCCCAAGGAGCACCCTCTGTTTGCTTTGATGATTGAGGATGTCCCTTCCAGCTCCGAACTAACGAGCTTGGAGTTCATCATATTGATTATCCAATTGATAATCAGGTTTGCAATACTTTTATTTTCCACGGCTCTTTCTATAGCCGCGTATGACGTGTTATCAAAGGCCCTCTGTAAACCGATGAACGCAACGAGAGCCACTTGCTTGGCTTCTATCGCGCCCTCGATAATGCTGATCAGCTCATGAATTATTGTCGTGGTAGATTTGCCGCTTTGATAGGCAAATTGAAAATTGTTTAGGGGCCTTATTCCCAGGTAGGTTCCCCTAATGAAGTTGTCTAAGCTTTTCTCCATAGGTTTGAGCAGAAAGAAACTGATGTAGATAGATTTAAATGACTTTGGCAGGTCTTCATTGTCGCTTCCTGTTTTCGTTATAAAAACCACTCTGGCGTTTTTCCACTCCTGGGTTTTTGAAGCCGCAATGGTTTTGAGAGGTTATTTATGTCTTTACAGTACTCCTCCAGCCAGTCCGGTTCGTCCGCCTCAGCTCAGCGTTATATGTGGTGAGGGCTTACCTGTACTTAGTCCATTCCCCGGATTTTTTAGCCCTGTTGAATAATTTGCTACTCTAGGATCAGAGCTTCTGAAATCTCTGATTCCCCCAAGGCACTTCCCTCGTTGACTCGTCCTTAAAGGACAGTTTTCTAGGTAGGTCTCTTCTAAGTTTGAACAGCGCTTTAAGTTCAATGGCCCCCGCGCTAAAATGTGTTCTTGTTTCCCGAAAGTAGAAAGCGAAGAGCTTTCTAATTCGTACGTTTGTGATTTTTGTTGGTTTGGCTCATACCGGCCACAATGTCGGACATATGCCCTGACGGGCTGACAATAAGAAAATAGGGCGTGTGGCGGTGTGGGTATCGATACCGATAATTTCGTTAGCTGATTTTTTTGGAAAGAATTCAAATTGCTACTTGTGATCGATGGACCCGGCAAACAGGTGGTTGAAAACTTGGAATTATTTTCTCGCTCCTTATCGTTTATTAAATTGGCCGCCTCTTCAATTGTTTTTGTGGAAGCCACATGCTTCCTTACAATTATGCATACTTCGCATACAACTATTTGGAGAAGTACTCAAAAGCATAAAATGTATGCAAAATATTCAAAAGCATAAAATATACTCAAAGTATTCACGGGTAACATATGAGCTATATATAAAAACGTATTGGCATGTAAAAAGAAGAAAAATCCTTTACCTAAGTAGGTACATTGTGAACACATACCTAACGGTCACCAAATCATATGATTTGGTACCTGGATTAACATTATACAAATGCATGTTGAAAAGAGCAATAGAATAAGCAGAGGGTTAGGCATACGAACAAGAAAAGAATAAGAAAAAAAGGCAAAATAGTTGTAACACATATAAGCAAGTGTAGCCTAGAACATACATGTAACGGAACAGCGGTGGTGATCGCGACTATAAAAGAGCGTGTCGCACCACGCTCAGCATTTCAGTTGTGTCATAGTAGTCAAGAGGTAAGTGGTCATGGACACAACTAATTGACTTTTACTGAAAGGGTTTTTTTTTTACTTCATGGAAGTTTTATCTTAATCGCCATCCCTGAAGGAATGATAGAACTGTTGAGTTTGCGGATAGGGGATGGAAGGTTTAGCTTAATCGTCATCCCTGAACGACGATGGACACTCACTCTTGCGACGAGAGACGATTAGGGACAGACGAGTGGCCCTGAACGGCAAGGTAAGCTGCTATGACACTCGCGGCGTATTCCCCTCTTTTACACAAACTCGCGGTATGGAAACGGGAAAAGGAAAGTACGATAATAAATCGCGAACGAATAAGAAGTAGGGGAAACGCTCCAGAACAGACGGGTCACCACGCTGGTTCTTCCCCCACGCCTCTTAAAATTCGCGTAAATACTATAATTGCCTTGTAAATTTGAATAAATAAAACCATAAAACCGAAACCGAAGGTCCAAGTAATTTTTATAAATATCCTTGGAAAGAGTCCTGGTTTGGCTGAGTATACCCTGCCCAAGAAGACTCGTTACAAAGTATTTGATCAATTAAGTGAAATTCTCGCAAATGCTTCCTAACATGTGCATAAGTTGGTTGATAGATTTGCGTTGGGGCCTGTTTTTTTGAAGTACTTCCAATCGCCGCCGAGGAGGGGTTCGTAGCAATTTCACGATATCTGTGTTTGCTGGATACTGGTCTGATCGTGCTGCTTGACTTTTTATCACTAGAGACCTTCTTGTCATGCTTGTCGCCATGACTGTCGCGCTCTGTATGGTCTCTGAACCGATCTTTGCTACACCCATCATGTCCTCTCTCCTCGCGATTTCGCCTCTCACTGCGGCTTAACCAATGGCTCTGGCTACGTTTAGGTGAACGCGATTTATGGCTATGACGAGCTTTAATTTTGGTCTTGTTTCGTGATCGCATTCTATAATTTTCTTTTTTTCTTTACTGTGTGTGGATGGCTTTAGTTTTTCATCAACTTTGACTTTATCGAACTGTAGCAGAGGTGAATTTGATTCAATGCGTGTGGCCAGCGAACAATTAACTTCCGACTGTTCTTTTTTCACTGCCTATGGTGATGCTTTTTCAATCGCTTTTATTGAACTGCTTACCGAAGATTGAATTAAGGCTGAAACTACGTCCTCCACAAGTATTGTTAAATCTAAGTTTGCAACAATTGCTCTTTTAGTTTACGTCTTACATTCAGACATATGGGTTCAGAATCCAATTTACTGGAGCTAGTAGAGGTATTGCTGCTACTTTCTCTTGGGTGGTTTTTTTTAATAATCTATCGGGTCTTATCGAAGGGTGTTGCAGATATTTTTGCAACTGCTTCGTCGTGCTTGGGCGCTGATTGAGATGTTTTAATATAATCCGAAATTGTTTTCAATGACTTAACTTGCGGGGATGAAGGTCTCGTTTGGAACTCTGAAGTAATTGTTGATGTGTCAGGTTTTTGTGCATATATTGTAGATAATTTTAAGGGAGGAGGCGATATGGTGTGTGCCGAAGTAGTTTGCAACGATCGCTGCTTCTGTCTCTT